AAAAAATTGTCTTTGCAAGAGGTTGATTTGAGACTTATAGATAACTTTTTGGATATATGCACTGTTCTGTACTGGCCCGACACTTAGTCCACAACGAGCAGGCCCAAACCCCACTGGAAGGGCCCAATAGGACTGCACGGCTGGGCAGAAGATCTATCAGGCACAACAGTTTCCCCGTCGGGCACAGGCCAACAGCCGTCGGATAGGACCCTCGTAGCTGACCGGCCAACCTCTTTCTTCCCCGTCGTCGGGCAGGGCCCAGCCTGCCCGGGGAGCTCCTCAGGCCTCCCCCATGTTCTCTATGTGTCCCCCACGCAAGGACACGTCATCAAGTAACTACCCATGTCCTGGGGATGTGGTCTTCCACCTCTCGAATAGCGCGAAACAGTTACCCTAGGGCGAAGACCGCGTGCTGGTCTTCACGACGCCACGTCAGCCCTAGCAGTTACCAACGTTGGGCCTGACAACCCAGCCCAACGCAAGGTAACCGTTGGCCCTGCGCTGAGGGCTCATTATAAATACCCTCTTCCACTAGAGGGTCAGGTAACTCAACTTTCTTACTCTTCTCCCTGTACTTGTTATCACTCTGCTCGTCACTTATTTTGGCATCAGAGTGTGTTTCAGGTACACCCCCCTTCTGTCCATCAAATTACCAGTTCAACAGCTCAGACGCGTGACAGCTCAACGATCTCTCTGGTCAGATACGATCATGCACTAAAAGAGAAATGAACATATTATCTTCCTACAATTCTCTATAAGCTTATAAGTTATGAAATTGGCACCTACTGAGTATGTAATTCTCTCACCTGCACACGCACTTTATACCTACAAAAAGTACATAAAGGAAAGTTAATTGATTGAGAAAGATAGGATTGAGAAAGATAAGAAATGTAAAAAGGGAAGTCTACAATTAATCGTCCTTAAAACTACCTAATACTTTAAAGTAAGACCAATAATCTAAAATCACATTTCCCAACACACTTAAAACTATTGTAGCATAACATCGATAGCTCATTAAATTCATTTGATGGTGCAAGACACATTTAAATCTCTGTCGCATTGAGAATCAGAGACTAAGGCTATTAATTAGCTTGACTCGCAAAAATAAGATATCACCATCAAATTTTTATTTTTTCAAAAAAATGGAGAAAAGATTGAACAAAAACCTAAATAAACATGCAAATAAAAAAGCAGGGCCTAAAACTAAGCAAAGAGAGATCAAAGCTACGGACGGAGGATGACTATACTAAGGGAAGATACTAGCACTCTACGTAACTGCAATACTCTACAAGGACCTTTTGAAATATTTGTGTTTTGACTAAAATTGTTTGCTAAATGTGAAAGATGAGCAAAGTAAAGCAATAAACATACCTGAAATTTTATTCCTCTGAATCACTTGAGCATATGACACCCCCGATATGCTAGTGTTCCACACACAGACTTCAGTTTATGGACGTCGTCTATTTCCTTCAACCTCCTCCATTCTTTCCTGTTTGTTGTCCACCAATATACCCGATGGAACCGAGGTATATTAGCACGAATCTTCTTGCCTTAAATGTGAATGCTATCCAGCTTCGCCGCAATTGTTCTTTTGTTTACCACCTTTCTAAAACGTACAAACCCATACCTTCTACCACGTTTATCTCTCTTTCCCGGGATGAAAACTTCCATCACCAACTCATACTCCTTAAACACGTCAAATATGTCCTTAACATCAAGATTCTCCAGAAATTTCGTAGAAAAAAATAACATTAAAGAACCTTCCTCCCCAGTACCTTTACCTCTTTTCGCTATCCACACCGAAAAATTTCCCACTTCACTATGAGCCTTTCCCCCCCGGAACCTCAGTCCATTTCTTATCTCCCATTTGGAAATATTACTCCATACCCCTACGATTATACTCATACCCCTACATTGAAAATTTTTGGACCAAAATACCCTCGTATGAAAAGTTATAATTTTTTGGTTTGTTTACCGGAAGACTTTTTAGTGGAGTAATTATTATTAAGTAAATAAATATAATAAATTAATAAAAAATCAAATTAAAGCAGACCAAAAAAATGTGAACCGGAAGACTTCTAAAAAGTCTTCCGGTAAACAAACCAAAAAAATGTGAACAGGAAGACTTCCAAAATGTCTTTCGGTAAACAAACCAAAAAATTATAACTTTTCACACAAGGGTATTTTGGTCCAAAAAATTTCAATGTAGAGATACGTAGGGGTATAGAGTAAAATTTCCAATATCGATTCATTGGTAAAAAATCGTCTCCTACTTTTGAATTGCCGAAACAAGAACTTTATGTGAGAATTGAGGCCCCCAAGAGAGAATTAGGAATTTTTCTAATAGGAGATCAGAATGGTTTTCCTTGGAGATGGAAAATTCGTCCACCTGGTTTTATCAATTTGCAAATTCTTCCTCAATTAGTTAAAAGAATGAAATTGGCTGACTCACATTTTACTACTATTTCTCCTCAGGATAAGTTATGGACATAATATTAAATCAAATTTGATTTAAGTACCTTTATCGGTTGTCACATAATTATAAATTTATGTTTCTAGTCAAAATTGAACAAAAATGAGTAACTTGATTAAAAAAAATATTTTTTGAGACCAATAAAAAAATCTAATTAAGCCTTTGAATCATCGTTTTTGTTCTACGCCATTGGATGGAGTCCCCCTTAATTTCCCGTGATAGCACCTGGTGACCGGTGCCCTTGCCTAACGCAACAAAAGAAAGAAAAGAAAAACTTAAATCATCTCCTTCTCTTCTTCTCTTCATCAATACACATCATTTTACAGAAACAAGTAAACCCTAAAATCATCTCCTTCTCTCCGTCAAAGAACGCCGCCGTAGAACACCCAACACCGTCGCGCCCTTGGTTAGTTATCTCCTTCATCCCTCTTTCCATTATCTTGTATCTTGAACACGGAACCCTTTACTCTTCACACTTAGATCCTAATGTTTTTAATTTCAATCTATGAAATTGTTAGTATAGTTTAGCTACTGGATAATTGTATTAGTGATTTATCATGTTATCAATTTTATGTTGCTACATCAAATTTGAATTCCCTTTTTGGTGTAAACCCTAATTTTTTTTGAAAAATTGGTTGTTAAAATCTCTGGAAGTTTATATGTTTTTAATTAGCCAGCTTCAGTTTCAATTAGACTGTTGAATTTCGTTTTTTCTAATTTCCTGTGAAACCATAATTTCTATTTCATTCCTAAATCAAGCTTGAGCTCTCTTTTACTGAAATTTTAATGTCAAATTTAGTTTCAAGTATTGAATCATTCTTTGCGCCTCTAAATTCCATTTTCCTCCATTTTGATAACTAACCTTCATTTCCCTCTCCCTCATATCTGACTATATGAAAATAAGTTACTATTAATTCGTTATTTAGTGATTCCTAGATAGATTAAGACTGAAGTGAAGCTACTATTTTTTGTAAACTATGTTTTTGAAATTGACCTAAGCAACTTGGAATTTGGAGTGATCAAGAATGTGGATCTTCGTTTGCTTGGAGGCTTGGGAATACTTCTATAAGTTGAGAACACATCTAAGGTGGTGAGGCTTGGGAATACTTCTATAAGTTGAGAACACATCTAAGGTGGTGCATGTTTGTAAAATACTCCCCCTGGTCCTATTTATTAGAGAAAATTTCCCTTTTTAAATTCGTTGAATAATCAATGTATTTGGTCTATTATTATACTAGATAGATTGATTATTTAATGAATCTAAGAAGAAAATTTTCTCTTATAAATAAGACCAGAGGGGGTATTGATTAGGAAACTAAATAGTTTTCATTATACATTAGTATATAGTTTATTCATTTTATTTATTTATTTGTTGTTTGCTCCTATGCTTGTTGTTTGTGATTGCTACCTTCTGTGTGTTGTTTTCTAATATTCCAATTAAAGGAAGCTCTGTGTTAGAAATTAGACCTTGGTTGTCAATTTGGTTCAAAAGCATACTTAGACATTATGCACTCATATTCCTAGTCAAGTTTCCTTGATGTGATCCTTCAAATTCTATGTCATAAACCCAAGTATGAGTTTGGTGTTGGGATTATATTTGTGGTATCAATTTCTAAAATGTGAATCTTGAAGTTATTCTTATAGTAATTATGATGTATTTTTTGTATATATCATGTCTTACCGTATGCCATTATTAGATTTCCTGAGAATGATTCTTGGTTACTGCTTGTATATTTTGTTTGTACCGAGTGAGGAAATGATGTAACATCACATCCTTGTGTTTTAAAAGTAGTTAGGTAAGGCTGATACACCAAATTTGCCCACTAGTTTTTTTGGAACCAAATAGTTGTGTGTGTGTAGGTAGGTATAGGGGTAGTTCAAAGCAGAATGACTTAATTTTATAGATAAGAGGCTAAGATGCAAGGAGAAGGAATGATAAAGAAAGGATAAGATAAGGTTTTCCAACCAAATGGAGAGGATTAAGAAATTTAAATGAAAGACTATCTTATGATTTAGAGCGGAAATAGTAGCACTGAATGCAGAAGCTTTAAATTGTATAATTATGTGGTAAAATACATGAATCGTAAAAGATTAAACAATGTAATGAGTAATTCAAGAACCATTGTAATACTTCTAAAGCATGCTTAAGCAGATAAGGAAAACAATTGTGAGGAATCCCATGTCTATAAGATTAGGCTTAACACTCAGCATGACAATTATTTTGTCCAATACTTCTAATCAAACTAATACTTCAATTATACAAAGGGTGAGGAAATAAAGCTCAAAACCTATTTATAGAAATTATTTACGCACAAGACCTATTTATAAAAATATACGCTGTAGGTACGGTATTAAAATTTTTGGTGTTTAAATAACACATGTAAAAGACCCATGTTGATGGAGTTTTTGTAATTTCTTTACAAGATAAAAATAAATCAATCCATTGGATTGTAATATATATCAATTAGTTTCTATATTGTTTATGCAAATTATGCTGACTTTTTTATTGCCTTTGCTTATTTCCAAGATGGCTGGAGCATTAGGATTTAGTAGCCTAGCGCCTAAGACAAAGAATTTCATAGTTGCTGGAGGATTGACAACTTTTGTGTTTGGGGCATACTTCTACACCATGAGAGCTGTTGGAGGTACTGATGAATTACAGGTAGCCATAGATAAGTTTGAAGCAGACAAGAGCACTAAAGCGGGTGAACCAACAATTCCATCAAAGGTCTAAAGCTAGTTGCTTACACAAAAAATGATACTTTGGTTGTACTTGTTTTGGTTTGGTATGGAAATGTTTAAAAACTGATATTGAATCTTGTATTTAATAAATTTTAGTATAAAACTGACTCAGTTTCTTAAGTATAGTTGCTTCTGTTGTCCAATTAAAAGATAACATTTGGATTAAGTACTGCACATGAGTTCTAAAATCTCTTAGCCTATGTTTGGAAATCACGGCAATACCACTCGGTTTGTAAAAGCTATCAATAGTAGCTTCAGAAAATCACGATGGGAAGGATGTGAATGTGCGGTAGCGGTAATTGATATTGTTGCCAAACACACGCTTAGTGTGTGTTTGACAACGATGGTCGTCACTGCTGCTGCATGTTGATACCTTCTCTGCATGTTCAACCTTCACCAACGTGAATTATCAGAAGCTACAATGGCTAGCTCTTAGACACCGGGCATATTGTGATTTTCAAATGTTACCAAACATAGGCTTAGTAGATGATAGTCCATAATTAACGACATTAAACTTGATTTTCCCCCATTAGTTGCTCTGCTTTATCTTCTAGAATCGTTTTAAATGAAACATTGTCGACTGTTCATGTTCTCCTCTGTTTCACACACTTCTGAAGTTGTTGGAGACCCATGTTCATTAATTCAAGAGGGTACTTCTTGTTCATTTAATTTAAGAGGGTACTTCAAGATGATGATTCCATGGTTTAACATCACCTTGAATCATCTCGGATGGTCATAATTGGTTGTTAATGAAAAAAAAAAGTTGAAATTTAAAGAAAACCCTATGTTCATGGTTAACCTCTCTCACTTGGAAAATACCATAGGTTCACGAAAACAATTATGCTTCAAACATATTCTTGGTGCATATTTTTTTAGTTTTTGCAACATAAGTATTCTCATAGATATATTTCTGTTGTTATTTTTTCTTCAAAGCTTTTAACATATATTTGTTTTTTGTTGAGATGACTTTTATATTAATCTATTTAGACTTATCCAAACTTTTGTGTTCTCTTTAATTATATTAGTAGTTATTATTGATTGATGTAGAAGAAAGATAAAATGATTAAGTTGTAAGAGTATCACTTAAAGGTCATAAAATTTTGTCAAAATAAAAATTTAAAGAAGATTAAAGACAAAAATGAATGGAAATCATGAACAAGACATATATTATATATTTTAAAGTTCGGTGGAATCTTCAATTTGGGGCTGATGATCGGGGTTGTTTTAGGATAAATAAAGAGAAATTTTATTACACCTGTATGCTTCATCAGCATGGGGTTGTTTTAGGATAAATAAAGAGAAATTTTATTACACCTGTATGCTTTTAGTATAATATATTGATTGAATTTTTTAATTATGTTTTTCGATTTCGACAATATATTTTCTAATGAATTTTATTTTCATTAAATGTTATCACGCTCAGGAATGGACAACTGAAGCGTGGAAATAAATGGTGGGTGGCCCGATAGCGGAAACCATAGAAGGTGGCTCACCGGATCTTAAACGAATCTCTGATACCATGTTAAGAAATGTGGTTGGGCCTAACTCAATCCTACAAAATCGGTTGGTAGGGTGAGGATTGCCCCCACTTATAAGCACATATTCATGCCATATATTGTCCGATGTGGAACTCTTAACAGTTATCATATTTTAAAGATATATTTCTGGAATCATTTTAAATATTCATAACATGTCACTTAGAAGAAATCAGTTTTATTAGAACTGTTTCGGAGATATATCTGTGAAAATATTATGGAGATATATCTCTGAAGTGTGTATCAAACATATTTTTTTATACAAGTGTGTATTTGTTTTCAGATGAAATATGAAGATCGAATAAAAAAAAATAGACGTACAAAATAACAAAACACTAATAATATATTAACAGTATAATAAGAAAATGTCGTACAACACGAGATCCAAAATGTAGTAACAATGTCTGAAATAAAGTACAAATTATAGTACAACAAAATAAATATAGACAACTACTAGATGTGCCTGATAACCTCTTCTCTACCTCCTTTGCCTGCTCTGGGTGTACTCGAACTGCCGCATGACACGCTCGAGTAGATGAGGAGCAAGGATACGCAAACCGTAGGCCATCCATCCAAAGTATAATGATATGTCATCTAATGGTCGCGTCTGAAGGTGATCTACGTAGCTTTTAAAGTGCATGTCCTCAGCAACCAAACAGTCAAGATACTCTGAAAGGCTTGACCATGGTTTCCTCTGAAGGGAATAAAAGCAAAAGCATGGTTCACGTCCTCAGTGTGTCGACTCTGTCAGCCATTATGCTTGTAAAATAAAGTAAGACATATCATTAGTGTACGATTATGAAACACACAAACAAGATTTTTTTTTTTAAAAAATAGACTCCAAGATATATGGAGATATATCTCCAAAAACAACATAAAACAATAACATTGAATAATTTCGAATATGTATATCCTGAAACACCATAAAATAATAACTTTGAATAAATCCAGAGATGCATCTTCAAAATATCCCAAAGGATATGAAACATTGAACAATTCTGGAGATGTATCTCCAAAATATTCGGCAACCCAGAGGTCGTGACAATGGCATAATGTATCTCTTGCAATGTGAAAAAATGATCTGATCGTCATTTTGAGCGAACAAACAAGTCATACACTAAACCTAAACTATGTTACTTGTGATTTCTACATATTTCTATTCCTAATCACTGATTTCTAACATTTACGCTAAAACTAGAATATTTATCAAAAACTTGAAAAACTTACATGAAATTGTTGATTCAAATGTTCTTTCCGATATTAGAGATGATGCTTGATGTTACCTGAATTCCTTTGAGCTTTGCTTGATGAAATTTGATGTTTGGTGTAGGGAAGTGTATTGAGAAAGTTTGATGTTTTGTGTTGAGTGTTGAATAAACTATGAAATGAGGGAGGAGAAGGGTCTCGTGCGAGTTAAGATACAAATTGTTCTGGAGTTATATCTCTGAAATATTTCAACGTTCAGTGAACTTAGAGTGTGTTCGGAGATGTATCTCCGAAATCAGGGGGGCATATGTTGAAATTTACATGGTGCACTAGAAACATATATGGTGTATTAAGAAATTCTCTAAATAAAGGTGCAATGAAAATTTAGGGGAGAGCATCACAAGATCGACTGACTCGAGTCTTTGGAAGGTTATTGTCAAGTTATTATGGTCAAGTTTGAATGATTCTTGTTTTTGGTCTTTGTGTGATAAAAAATTTAGGGGATGCTTGATCTTCTTCTTGGATGAACACTAATAAAAAAAAGAGAATTTTTTTATCCCATTCTATGTGGTGAAAAAACATCTTATGAAAAATCTAAAATGCCCTTCAGATTTCAGAGAAGCGTCTCTGGATGCACCATGCACCTTTTTATGATGCACCAAATGAGTGTTATTCCAGAGTAAAACAAAATTTTATTTCAGAGATGCATCTCCGAACATTTTCATTAAATATATTGATATTTGAGCAGTCAAGTGGATATTCCTGAGACGCATCTACAAAAGTTTGGGGTGGGATTTTGAAATTTCTGTCCCTTTTGCTTATAAGATATTTTCGGAGATGCATTTTTGTAATAAGTTGATAAAATACTCACTTTCACGATCACATGCCCATACTTGTTTTCCACTCTAGACCCTTTCCAAATATCATTCTATTCTCAATCAACATTTTTGCTCCAAATCTTCATTCTTGTGTTTCATCACATCAAAGGAAGAAAAAGATGCTGAAATTCTACGTAAAGATCATTTATATCAAGTCTCATTGCTCACATTAAGCTTATTTTTAGTCTGAAAAACGTTCATTTAATTCGGAGATGCATCTCCGGATTACATATGAACTCTTCCAGAGATGCATCTTCGTAGGCTGTCTGTTCTCATTTTTTCAACTCTATTTACAATATTAGCCGTTTTTGAGTTTTTTTTATTATAACTGTTTTCATTAGATATGGTGCACCCCGATGTTTTCTCCAAACATGTTGTGTTTCCGGATGTCAAAGATATTGTTGTGGAGGAGGTAGATGTTGGCAACCAATTTAAAAATAAGCAATAGTTTTGAATTTTGTGATCACATGCTTCAATGGTTTTATACGGAGACCTCCAAACTGGGATTGTTGTGGTAATCATAAGGTACAATAATGGTTCGGATAGAAGATGTGCATTTGTGACAATAACATGCGAAAGAAGTGAAAATATCAACATTATCTCCGAAATTTTAAACGAGATGAAACTAGTTCAAGAATATGTGAGTGTCCCTTTAAGTTGCGTGGTTATATGTTGGTAAATAAGAAATGAAGATTTAATGTCATATGTTGTTAAATGTTGGAATTGTCTGGGAAATAAATCTCATTCCCATATGGGGTGGTATGGTTTGAGTAGGGTTACCTATGACCGACCCAGACGTCAGAATTGATGAATATGTATTTGCAGCATTGTCAGCAAATGTCAAAGGATTCGTAGGTAGGTTTGCCATCATTGTTGTTGGCATCCTATAAGGTTGTTCACGCCCCGTCACAGGAATTATAAAACCTCTGGCAAAAGGCCTAAACTCTGTCGCCATAATTGGTCTAGGAGTCACTTGGTGACTCTGCATTACTAGAGGGTTGTTCTCCATTATTGTTTCTGGAAATAACCATTCTTCGGACATTTTTTCTCGTAGGTTTCCTAACTTCTCTCTTGATTATCTTATCACTCAGTCTCATGCAAACTCACACAATGAAAATTTAATGAAATGAAGAACTTTAAAAATGATATTTTTCGAAATGAAAAGTATAAATTCACACAAAAGAGGTCCCACCAAGTGTGCCAATTTGTTTACTTGAAAATTTGGTAAACAAAATAAGTTTCAATTAATATTTACGGGATTAAATTTGAAAAGATCCCAGAACATATTTATGTGAATCTTAACTTTCGAATAACATATTGGTACAAAAGTCAAAATGCAATGTTTGAGTGATAATAACTTAAATTCACTAAAA